TCTGTCATTAAAAGAGAAATTCACTAGCTTACCAACACAAATTAATCTTTGATTTCTCATTCTTCTAGCATGTTTCTTAAATAATTTCCAAGATTTTTTCCATAACTTTGCTAAACTGTTTGAAAAGTAATTTGCAACATTTTACTTTTTAAAGAATAGTAATTGACCTTATGAAGGGCAGTGAGCATAGGACTACTTCTAAATATAAGGGTTGCAAATTTTTTTTTAAGGGAAGTGTGTTTGTCAGTCATAAGATATATAGGACTTAAAGTAACCTCAGTAGTCCTCTAATTCAGTACCCTGAACTCAAGGTAAAACTATGTAGGGTATGTCAACAATGTCCATTGGCATGGGCAGTGTAGTCACACTTTGTCACCGGGGAGAGCTCGCCTAGTGATTTTAAAAAAAACAAAACCTCACCCTGAACAAGGAGTGGTCGCTTTATTTCTGGGAGCAGAGTTCCCAACAATAAAGCACTGTCTATACTGGCACTTTTCAGCGCTAAAACTTTGGTTTCTCAGGAGGATGTTTTTTCATACCCCTCAACGAATAAAGTTTTAATGCTGAAAGTGGCAGTTTAGTAACCAGACCATTCCTGACAAGTGTTTGTCTTACCTTTTCTTAATGATAGAGGTTCCATAGCTTCCCCAGATACTTTATTCCAGTGCTTAACTGCCCTGACAATGAATGAGCTTTGCCTGATGTCCAAACCACCCTCGCTACAGTTTAAGGCCACGGCTTCTTGTCCAATCCTCAGAGGGTAGCAAGAACAGTTTTCACCCTCCTCTTGTTAACAACCTTTTATGGTGAAGCAGTGAAAGTAGGTCCTTCAGACCTGGCTAGGAAGGCTGCAGGCAAGCAACCAATCCATGCTCACCACGCTCAGATAAAAGAAGCTGCAGGGCATGAGCAGCTGAGTACTGACTGGGTCCAGGAAGTGTTACAAGGCTGTGAAACTCTGTAGGCAAGGGGACAAGTTCTGTTTAGAATTTCAAGAAAGGGGCTAGCATTTAAAGGGCTCAAGGACAGATCTGAAAATCCCACAGAGGGGTCAACTATTTGTTGAACTTTATTACCCCTCAGAAGAGGACTGAAGATGACAGGTCTGGAGAGCTAGGTCAGTGAGAACTGCTAAGACAAAGAGTCTGCAGGGAGAAAGTGCTGGTGGCACTGCTCCGTAACAGACTTAAAGCTAACCCAGAAGGACTTGATAACTGAGCCGGGAAACAGAGCTGAAGACACCAATGAGGGGGCAGGAAAAGACTCTGTTGGACCTTTTACCCCAGAAGGGGCTCATTCATGCATGTTAACTGTGTTTTAGTCAGAGGCCTGAGCCACAGAAGGCCCACCTGATAATGGTCACAGCCTATAGGGGGCACCAAGAAAAAGAAAGAGCATGAGTGCACACCATCACAGCATACCTGAAAGATCACTTTTTTGCAGTTGTGTTAAACTGTTGAATTTTATTTAGCGTATGATACACTATAACCTCTGGATCGCTTTCTGCAGTATTCCTTACTAGGCAGTTTCCCCCCATTGCAGTTGACTGTTGCTACTTAAGTGGTGTGCTTTGCATTTGACCTTATTGGATTTCATCCTATTTACTTAACACCATTTCTCCAGGTTGTTTGGATCATTTTGAATTTTAATCTTATCCCCAAAGCACTTGCAAACTCTCCTCTCCCCCCTCCCCCCAGTTTGGTCTCATCCACAAACTGTGTATGTGCACCGTCCATTCTAGGGATGTCAGCAAGTAGTCGACTGTATGATTAACTGATGAGCCTACCCTTATTGGCTAATCTTGTCGATTACTTGCATTTCCCCCACCCTTGCTGCCTCTGTATCAGAGGCAATGGAGGGGAAGCAGGAGCCAGTGATAGGGAGGTGTGACGGGGTGAAGGAACCCCGCATTCTAAGGGGGCTCTGGGAGAATCTGCAAGAGGGAGGGTTGCAGGAGACACATGACAGCAGGGAAGCCACAGACAGAGAAACCTGAGCCCTAGCGGAAGACGTGGCCAGAGTTAAGGGAGCCACAGGCGCAGCAGAGGCGGGGAAAATGGCAACGGCGGCGCTGATGGACAACGTCACCCGCCAAGCTGGTGGGGGACTTAAAATGGAGCTTGGACCCAGGGGAAGGGAGAAAGGAGTGGAGAGTGAATCAGCAGTGAGTGGGGAGAAGCTATAGGTTGTGGGGGAGGAAGTGGCCCAGGGCAGGGCTGTGGAACCCATGAGCAGGTGTGTTTGGGGGCCACAACCCCATCCGCTGGTCAGGAATTGGCGTCCCTACCGTAGGACCCTGGGTCAGGACCCGGGGAGAGAGGGCAGGCCCGGGTCCCCCTACCTCACCACTGGGGCTCGTTGTCTACACTGGGGAGGGAGGGAGCCCTGTCTGGGGAAGGCTTAACTTGTGCCTGATAGTGATTAAGGAGCTATTAGTCTATGGCGATTTTGACTATGCAACTGACACAGTGACCCTGACGCTGTAATCGACATTGAACCGGTATATATTGAATTGGTAACTAAGGGGGGATCCGAGCAGCACATAATAAAGTACTTTTCAGGGACTCGAGCTGGTGGTGGCTCCTTCTGGTGTTGGACCCTTGTACAGGAGGAGCCATCTTAAAAGCTGGTTCCCCCAAGCACCAGCTCCGCAGTGCCACCTGTCCCTTCTCACCCGTGCTGCTGCCTCTGTCAGAGGCAGCAGTACAGGAAGGGGGGAGCACGGGACGCTGCTTTGTGGCAGCAGCCCCTGTGCGTGAAGGTCCAAGCTCCCCTCGGGCAGAGGCTGCTCCTCATTCCATGTGGAGGTGAGGGGGATCCAGACTCACCGTGGACAGAGTCTGATCCAGCAACAGCCTCTGTCCACAAGGAACTTGGACCCTCCACGGACAGGGGCTGCTGCTGGACCAACCTCTGTCCATGGCCTGGGCTGCCGTGGACAGAGGCTGCTTCATGGCAGCTTCCCTCCTCCCCTCCTCCCAGCAGCTTCTGTCGATGGGGAGCTCAGATCCCCTTGGACAGGGGCGGCTGCCATCCCACGCTGCTGCCTCTTTATCAGAGGCAGCAGTGCAGGGCGACAGGCAGCCAGTCTGCATGGGGAGGTGGTTATTAAAATGGCGCCCGCTGC